TAAAGTATCCTTTCTCTGGAGTGGGGAGGGAATGGAGATTTTACAGTATCCTTCCCCTGGAGTGGGGAGGGAATAGAGATTTTAAAGTATCCTTTCTCTGGAGTGGGGAGGGAATGGAGATTTTACAGTATCCTTCCCCTGGAGTGGGGAGGGAATGGAGATTTTACAGTATCCTTCCCCTGGAGTGGGGAGGGAATGGAGATTTTACAGTATCCTTCCCCTGGAGTGGGGAGGGAATGGAGATTTTACAGTATCCTTCCCCTGGAGTGGGGAGGGAATGGAGATTTTACAGTATCCTTCCCCTGGAGTGGAGTGGGAATGGAGATTTTACAGTATCTTTCCCCTGGAGTGGGGAAGGAATAGAGATTTTACAGTATCCTTCCCCTGGAGTGGGGAAGGAATAGAGATTTTACAGTATCCTTCCCCTGGAGTGGGGAGGGAATAGAGATTTTACAGTATCCTTCCCCTGGAGTGGGGAGGGAATGGAGATTTTACAGTATCCTTCCCCTGGAGTGGGGAAGGAATAGAGATTTTACAGTATCCTTCCCCTGCCATGCCCACCAAGCCATGGCCACAGTAAAATAATTTTGAATCATGTTTCCAGAGCCAAAAACTAAAAATCTGCACAAAATGCAAACCAATTTAACATTAACGCAAAACAAAATAGTAATCAGGGCAACATCTAATAAAATCAAAAGGAAGCCTTCTGGAATAGAAACTATGCCACATGAAATCGAATGCAATAGAATAAGGGCAAAATTGTTTTAAGCATGTCTCAAATCATTTTTAAAATAAAGGGGATAAAATGAATGACCCCCCCCAAAAGGCATTTATGGTCCAGTTCTGAAGTTCTGACCACTGCCTCCTCCCACAGTCAGGAGACTGCATCTGAGTGCTTGACCATTGGCCTATATTTATGACCGTTTGCAGCGCCCCAGAGTCACATGGCCACAATTGTTGACATTTACGGGTTTTAGCACCCAAAAAAAATCCCATTGCAAACTTTCATAAGTGTGAAAAATGATCCTATGTGATCAAAGGTCAGGTGTTCAAAATTCAAATGCTTGGCAATTGGTGTATATTTAGGAGGGGTTACAGTGTCCCAGGGTCATGTAGAGCCGAGGTGGTGCAGTGATTAGAGTGCAATACTGCAGGTTACTTCAGCTGACTGCTAGCTGCAATTCAGCAGTTCAAATCTCACTGGCTCAAGGTTGACTCAGCCTTCCATCCTTCCGAAGTGGGTAAAATGAGGACCCAGATTGTTGGGGGCAATAGGCTGACTCTGTAAACTGCTGTAAAAGCACTATGAAGCAGTATATAAGACTAAGTGCTATTGACCTCCTGACAAGCAAAGTCGAGAGAAAATCCAGATTTACTTAACAACCATGTTGCTACCTTAACAACTGCGTTGTAAAATGGAAACACTGAGCTCAGTTGTGGTCAAGGGCTACCTGTATTTTGCTAAGGTTTAGAGTAAAATTCTAATATCGATTTTATAGTTTTGGGGGGCTGATATATATGCAAACCCCTGAGAGTCTGGGGTCTTGGGGTCAAAAGGATACAAATACTGTCAGAGTTTGTTGCAGAAAAATCAAATCCAGAAAGCACACACAGATAACTGATTCAGCTGGATGTCTTTCTATACATAATAACACATGAGTAAATATACAATACCAACAAGTGGTTCTTCAGTTTCAGATCACAGACTCAGAGCTCAGAGCTTACAGACTAGTTTCAGTTTCAATTCTCAGCCCAGACTCAGATCTGTTTAAGTTCCCATTGACTTAGTTGCTATGCCTATGCATTGGCTGACCTTGTTACCATGTCTCTCCCAGTCATGAATATTCTAACAAATACCATGTGATAAATCCGTCTAGAGAATTGCACCTGAGCTTCTAGATTGAGATATCATTACATTGATATTAAATTAAATGATATTAATCTTTTGGGGGTGAGTCACCTACAACCCATCAATGAAAACCTTGCAAACAAATAACAACACATTTCTACTTCTCTCTCTTTTTTTTAGGTTTACTTCAATCTATAGGGGGCCTAGTCATACTTACAAGGTACAACGGCTGATGGAATATACCAGCTACATTTTTAGAATACAGGCTGTAAATGGTGCTGGGGAAGGGCCTTTCTCAGAAGTCTTTAGCTTCAGCACAACTAAATCTATCCCCCCTGTCATTAAAGGTAAGTAAGATACGTCTCCTGATTTTGGTGGGGCGGGCGGAGGTGGGGAGGAAGCATTTAATACACCTAAAACCCCTTTTGCAATCCCTTTCCCCCCATCACAAAATACAGGTAGTCCTCAAATTACAACCATTCTGGTGTACATTTAGACTAGAATAACAGAGTTGGAAGGGACCTTAGAGGTCTTCTAGTCCAACCCCCTGCTCAGGCAGGAAACCCTATACAATTTCAAACAAATTGTTGTCCAATCTCTTCTTTAAAACATCCAATGTTGGAGCATTCACAACTTCTGGAGGCAAGTTGATTAATTGTTCTGTCAGGAAATTTCTTCTTAGTTCTAGTTTGCTTCTCTCCTTGATTAGTTTCCACCCATTGCTTCTTGTCCTACCCTCACATGCTTTGGAGAATAGCTTGACTCCCTCTTTTTTGTGGCAACCCCTGAGATATTGGAACACTATTATCATGTCACCACTAGTCCTTTTTTCATCAGACTAGACATACCTAGTTCCTGTAACCGTTCTTCATATGTTTTAGCCTCCAGTCTCATAATCATTCATTCAGCAATGGTTCAAAGTTATAATTAGACTGAAAAAGTGGCTTATGACAGGTCCTCACACTTAATGACTGTTGGACCTTCAGTTCAGTTGGTGTGTTTTGAATTGTACTATTACAATTTATAATATTCTACTAATATTATAATTTTTCTCAACTTCTACCCTCAAAATGACGCTATAGGGCATTGCGCACCAGAACAATTAGACACAAGGATAGTTTTTTCCCGAATGCCATCACTCTGCTAAACAACTAATCCCACAATACTGTCAAATTATCTACTAATACTATATTACTATTATTCTTCTCTTCCTTCCTAGTACCCATCTCTTTCCTAGTACATACCTCTTTCCACTTATGACTGTAACCATGCTGCTTGTATCTTTAAAATTTATATTGTTTTATTTGTTTCCTAGTATAATTTGATTACTTATTAACCTATGACTATCACTAAGTGTTGTATTTTATGATTCTTTATGAATGTATTCTATTTTATTTTATTTGTGTGCACTGAGAGCATATGCACCAAAGACAAATTCCTTGTGTATCCAATCACACTTGGCCAATAAAGAATTCTATCCTATTCTATTTCTATTCTATTCTATTTTTCTAGATTATGGATTCCATCCTAATATTTGGATCTTTTTTGCTCATTTCTCATTTGAAATCCCCTACAGTTAAATTAACATTGATTGTGGGAACTGATGCTTGACTATAGTTAACTATTGCTGAAAGCTTTATATATTTTTGATAGATGAGATTCTTTTTAGCTAATAAATGGCATACGGTGGATTTTAACTAATAGAAGATGACTTTTTCCCCAAGGGTGTTAGGCAGGCACTGTCTCAAGTAGATACACTTCAAAAAAAAATTGACCCTTGTCTATCTCTTGTATGAAAATACTTTTTTTGCCACCTGGTGGAGCAATAAAACTGTCCGAATATCGTATGTTTAACCAACTCTTATCTGGTTGATAAAGTAAGGAAAACTAAATTCTTCAACAGTCAGCATGTTTTTCTTTTTTGCAGTTTGGTTCTTTGTTGTTTGCCTACTTGTATGTCTATAGTTTTTCACTATTCTAACAAGAAAGTAACAATACGGTAAGATAGTTGATAGTTAAATTGAATAATGCATTACCTTATCTTCTATGCCCGTGAACCATAGGTGAATGTATGGCACACATGCCGGAAGTGGCCCACAGAGCCATCTTTCTGGGCACAACAGTCATCGCCCGTTGCTGTTCAGGTTCCAGCTTGCACATGCGTGCTGGCCAGCTGGTCTTCACGTGTGCGGGAGCGCTGGAAATCGGAAGAGCAGCTCCCTGGCATGCATGTGCACGCTGGGAGGCTGAGCTTCCAGTTTCCGGCACATGCATGCACGCCAGCCATGTGCGTGCATGTTCGCCAGAAACCAGAAGACCAGCCGGAAACTGAAAGCTCAGCTTCCCGGTGTGCACATGCACGCCAGGGAGCTTCTCTTCTGGTTTCCGGCGCTCCCAGAATAGAAGTCAGCATTTGAAAGAAGAAAAATGAGAGGTGTGTCTTCCTTCTGCACATGCCAACTGATACGTAGTGATCTTTTTTTTTTAATAGCACCTCGAGTGAGACAGTTAGAAGGAAACACCTGTGAAATTGCTTGGGAAACTGCACCCCCAATGAAGGGAGATCCTGTGAACTACATTCTGCAGGTCCTGGTTGGAAGAGAGTCTGAGTACAAACAGGTAAGAAGGAATGATAGTTTAACTCAGTGGGATTCAAAAAAATTTACTACTGCTTCTGTGGGCGCAGCCATGTGACTGGGTGGGCGTGGCCAGGTTGTTGTGTGACTGGGTGGGCGTGGCCAATTTAGAACTGTCTGAATACCACCTCTGGTGTAACTCCAAGTAGATACAACAACCTTTCATGGTCTTACAATGTGTTTATAGGCGATGGGAGGCAAAAAGTAGATTTATTTTGGTCTAATTTCCAACACTCAACTGTAGCAACTGCCAGACTTAGTTCCAAGTTCAATATAATGGGACAAAGCCAATTCTGTAGATTGACTGGCCCCATGCCACGTAGGCCCTTATAGGTCACAACCAACATCTAGAATTGGGCCTGGAAGCAAACTATCACTCAACGTACTTTGCAGAGCAGAAGTGTGACCTGTGTCCTATTTGGGCCCTCAATATAGCTTGTTTGGCTGCATTCTTGCATAAGCTGAAGCTTCTGGATACTTTTAAAAGGGTAGCCCCCATAGAGAGCGCATTGCCATGGTGTGCAAAATGGAGTCGCACAAAGGCCTTTCTAGCCATGGCTGCCACCTGTTCTTTGAGCAGGAATTGTGAGTCCAAGAGAATCCCTTACGTTACACACTTGATTTGTCTGAGGTAGTGTTACGTGCTCCTGAGGTAAAAGTGCGAAAAATAGGATTGTGATGATGAATAAAAGAAACAGAAAATGAAATAAAGGGGGAAATGCAAAAGAGACAAAGACAGAGAGTGAGAGAGATGTAGTATATGAAATAATGAAAAAATGCCGAAGGTAACCAGACTGAATGTCTAAGATATATATATATAATCTAATCTTAGATATATAATCATATATCTAAGGTATATGTATAATAAATAAATAATCTTTTTATGGTAATGAATTATGTAAAAAAAAGCAGTTGGTATCCTCTTCCAGCAATTTATCCTGCCCATAACTATCATACACAGAAATATGTACATTAAAAATTCTACCAATTCAGTTATACAATTATCCTGCACATAACTGTACTGGCTTTTATTATCTTGTGGAATATTTTGCTTTTCTAGAGGAGAAAACTGTCATATATATAAATTCTATCCACCATTAACATTAGTATTTCATAACAAAAACTAACCCAGATGACGAAAATGGTACACTTGATGGCGAAAATTGCCATATCTGACTTTTTTTTTCTGAGTCATTTTGAGATTTCAGCCGACTGGATCATCTTCAAGCTGGTTCTTTTCTATTATCACCATGGAAATGATGCCAATATCTCCTCGGAAGCACAGCATGATCTCTTAGCGGCCCTGGATTCACATCAATTTTATGCAAATTTTAAAAAGTTGGAGATAAAGTGAGAGAAGCTGGGTTTATCTAGCCACATTTACGTATGCTTCTCTCTCCATTGATTTAAACATAGTTCTCCATTCTGTTAAGTAAATTTCTGAAGGTAAAAAAAAAGATTTATGTATTTATTTATTTTAGCTGTGCACCCTGATGCTTTGTCCCAATTTACGACCTATCTTGCCACCCTTGATAAGTGATTCACTTCAGTTGATACGTTAGTGACCTGTTTGTTAAGTGAGTCTGGCTTCCTCGTGGACTTTGTGAGAAGGTTGCAAAAGGGGATCACATGATCCTGGGACACAACAATGGTCATAATATGAAGCAGTTGCCAAGCATCTGAATTTTGGTCACATGATCATGGGGTGCTGCAAAGATCATAACTCTGAAAAATGGTCATAAATCACATTTTTCAGTGCTGTTGTAACTTTGAATAGTCACTAAATGAACTGTTGTAAGTCAAGAACTATAGATGCTTACTTAGTTACATCCAATTTTTCTTCAGGAGACATTGACATATTCCTGTTTGATGCCTGAAAGGAGTTCTATTCAACTTCTAGTTCTAGAAAAACAATAAAGTTTAGCTACATGAGCCATGGTGGCGCAGTGGTTAGAGTGCAGTACTGCAGGCTACTTATGCTGACTGCGGCTGCCTGAAATTTGGCAGTTCAAATCCCACCAGGCTTAAGGTTGACTCAGCCATCCATCCTTCCAAGGTGGGTAAAATGAGGACCCAGATTGTTGGGGGCAACATGCTGACTCTGTAAACTGCTTAGAGAGGGCCATAAAGCACTGCAAAGTGATATATACCATAAGTCTAAGTTCTATTGCTACTATTACATGCAGAATCTTTATTTAGCATCTGGTATTGTTGAAATATGTTTAATCTGCCTTTGGTACCAAGATCACTCCTCTCCTATGCAGCGAAGTGATGCCTGCAATAGGCCATAGGAGTAGGACAGAATTTCCCTGTTTTTAATCTTTCATAAATGTCAAAGCACACGATACTGTTGCTTTTTAAATGGACATCCACTTCCTGACCTCCAAATTTACATATAGGTAGACCTTGACTTACGCCAGTTCATTTAATGGCCATTCAAAGTTACGGCCTTGAAAAATGTGATTTACGACCGGTTTTCACATGACTGTTGCAGCATAGTTTAGTTTACTTTATTGTCATGGCACATGATACAACAAAATTAAATACCATATTCAGTGTACAAGATTTTGTTCGCATAAAGGCTTAAACCTCCCCCTTTGCTCTTGCCAGATTCACTATTCCTATCCTGCCAGTAAGGGAAGCCAGATTCCCTTAACACTAATTTAACAACTGCAGTGATTCACTTAACAACAGTGGCAAAAAAGGTCACAAAACAGGGCAAAACTCACTGTATTTTCGGAGTATAAGATGCATCTTTTTCCTTCAAAAAAGAGGGTGAAAATTTGGGTGCGTCTTATACACTGAATACAGCATTTTTGGCATCCCGAAACCCTGCCCCCTTCACCAAAATGGCTGTGCATAGCCTTTAGGAGGCTTCCAGAGAGCGACTGGGGAGGGCTAAAATGAGTGAAAAACGGGCTGCTTCTGCTTGTTTTTGCCCACCCCCAGCCCCCAGGAGCACTCTATAAGCCTCCTAAAGGCTATTCATGACCTTTTTTTGACAAAAACAAGCTTGTTTTTGAAAAAACCGGGCCGTTTTTTTGCTTGTTTGTGGGGGGGGGGGCAGTCCCTGGAGCACTCTACAAGCCTCCTAAAGGCTATGCATGCATTTTTTGACCCAAAAACAGCCCATTTTTTGAAAAAACCGGGCCGTTTTTTTGCTTGTTTGNCTGTTCCGACAGGCCTGGGGCTAAAGAATCGTTGCCCCTATCTCGAATGGTATGATTGTTGCGTTTTAACTATGTATTGTTTTTGTGTTGTTGTTAACTGTCTGTATCCCCCTTCCCTTGAGTTGTGAGCCGCCCTGAGTCCCTTCAGGGAAAAGGGCGGCATACAAATGAAAATAAACTCAAACTCAAACTCAAACTCTCTCTCCAGGTCACTTGGCAAACGTTGAGACAATGTGTGCTGCAATTTTAGGCAAAGCTCCTTCCCTTTTTGAAGAGTTTGACTTAAAGCTTCATAACAATTTCTTGTGCAACCTAAGTTTTCTTTCCTCGCTTCTTGTTCCTTCAAGGTGTACAAGGGAGACGAGACAACGTACCAAATCTCAGGCCTTCAGGTGAATACAGATTATAGATTCCGCGTGTGCGTTTGCCGCCGATGCTTGGATACCTCACAAGAACTCAATGGACCTTTCAGCACTTCTGTTGCCTTTATTCTCCAGCGGAGTGAGCTCATGCTTACTGGGGAACTGGGAAGAACCGATGACCCCAAGACTAAATGTATGATGCCTTCTGATGAACAGTTTGCAGCCCTCTTAGTCCTTGGCTTTGCAAGCGTCTCCATCTTATTTGCTTTTATACTACAGTATTTGTTTATGAAGTAGAGAGTTCAACACAAGTATCTGAGGTATCGTTTTAATTAATGATTCATACTATAATCAATATGTTTTATTCAGATAGTCCTCTTTATTTTTTCAGTGCATTTGTTTCTGGTTTATCGTTGTTGTTTTTTAAAGGGTGACGGGGGGGAGGGAATGACAGTCCTATTTAGAGAATAAAAATCGACGTTCGGGTGCACCTTTTGGACATTCAAGGTTAGGAAATGGTTCAATATATCTAAGCCAGAGACCAAAACAAATATTTTAACATTTGGATGTTCTGTCCCCTGCTCCTATGATTTTATTCACTTGCTCGTTTTTATTTTTAATTTTCAGAATGTAGAAATGTAACCAGTTTGCCTTCACGTTTTTGCCTTAGTGCTAAACTTGTTGCAGTCTTTAAGTTGCAAGTTTATTACATTAGAGTAACCGCTTTAAGCTCCTCTGAATCTGCAAGATTTAACCATCCTTATGTAGTAGCATTGCAGCTAAGCATTCCTCAATGCATTTGTTGCACAAGTCATTAATTATAAATATCACATACAATATTCACTACATTTATTTTCTCCTCAACCCTCATACCGCCAGTTTTGCATTGTTTTTGCGTTATTCCCATACGGGGAGGGGAAAAAATTAATCTCAATTATGTAATCAATTATATTTTTAGCACATTTCAATCCCGATAATTTATCTTGCAACCTAAAGTCTTCTTTGAATTGTAAACGTTTTACTCAAGCTGTTTGCGCACTATAAATTCCTGTATATCGAATCTGATAGCCAGATAGCTTTATCGATGGAAAAGCATTACCGTTTCTACCATTTTCTTTATTTTATAGCAGTAATTTTAAGAGGGCATTGTGCAATAGTTATTCCCCATGTCCAGCTGTTTTTATTTTGTTTAAAGAAAAGCTGCTTTTAACTAGTTTGTTTGCCTTTGTATATAAACTTACTTTTTAATCCAATCACTAGATTTGTTATATTCATCGTGATCTTATGTGTTTATAACTGGCAAAAGCTTGCTGCCTTTGCTATTTAAATTAGAGTATTACCTTTTACCATAAGCAAACACTCAATCAGTCTTGTTAAGAAAAAGGTCCACCTGCATTTCAGTTTTGGAAAAAACATAGTAAATTCATACAGGCATCTCAGATGCTAAATACTGTAATTAGAGCTGATATGAAAAGGTGCCATTTCTTCCATCTCCTCCTCCTCCTCCTCCTCCTCCTCCTCCTTTCTTCTTAATGGCATCTCTTATTACAAACCATGTCATGTAATATCCATTCATTTCCCTCTTCAAATTCATTAGCTGCTGCCTTCAGAAGTGACGGTGGGAGGGAGATCATAGTTCACATGACAACCCACTGCGTGTACTGTCCTAATAAAGCAAAAGAAGCATAACAGTGCTGTGTTGCAAAGCATCAACCTCAAGCATTATTGATATTTCCAGAATGCCTCTGAGAAGTTCTCCAGAACTCCATTGACTGGCTGGTGGCTACATACCAGTGCTGGGTTATCTTCTGGCAATTGGACGATTGGCCACTAACAGTGTGTGAATGCCTTTTATTACACACTCAAAATTCCAGAAATGCTCACTAGCCCTCAAATTTTGGAGATTCCTGTAGTGGCCATGGCCAAAGGGGAAAAGACAAGGAGGAGATGTGGAGCAGCTGGTTTCAGCAGCAGCTGCAGTCTTGACACCCAGCTCTAGATTCAACTAGTCTTCAGATCATAAGGGTAGGGTGTGGTCCATTGCAAACTTAGTGTCCTTCCTGAATGGGACGTTGCATGTGCTTTTACATTGATTGCCAAGGCACGTTCATTCAGTCCATCAAAACCCTTGGTGGTTCTTGTTGATTTAAGGGGGAAAAAATAACCTTTGGGTTATTTTTATGACGTCTAAGTGCCTCAGGGATGTTGAGCAGGAGTTGTAAAGTAAATTATACGTGGAAATGCACAGAGCTGTAACCCTTAGGAATCTCTCCCAAATAGTGTTGCAATTTGTGAACCATTGCTACATAACTCTGTTCACTTCAATCAAACAGAGGTGCACAATGATATGTTCCCTCCCCACAAAGCTTCATAAAAGCCCCCCACCCCGGCAGATATTTTCAATGTTATTTTTTAAAGTACCAGAATGGGGAGAGACTGGGGAGCCATCATATCAGCTCTATTTAATTTTTAAGTCAATTGAAATAACACGTGCACCCTTTCCTTAAAAGCCTGCGCAGGAAAAACAAAAAAAGCGAATCCATTCAGTTCCTATTCTAGCTCTGCATGAATTGAAAGAGTTCTCGTGAATTGTGTCCCAGGCTTTGCGTCCTCTTGCATTCAAACAAACAAATAGTTCTGCATATTTTTTTTAATCTTCTTTGGGTTTGGCTTGCATTGTACTTCTTTTTTGGTCTTCTCTTTTGCTATGACACAAGGCAGCGCGATGGCTCAGTGGTTAAGATGCCGGGTGTGTTGGCTGGAAAGCCAACATTCCGGGTTTGAAACCCGAGCATCCCGCAACGGGATAAGTACCCATCTTTGCCTAGCTCCTGCCCACCTAGCAGTTCGAAAGCATGCAAATGCAAGTAGATAAATAGGTACCACTTCGGTGGGGAGGAAACTGTGCTCTGCAACGTCATGCTAACCATGGAAATGTCTTCGGACAGCGCTGGCTCAACAGCTTTGAAAAGGGGATGAGCGCCGCCCCCTGTAATTGACAACTATATAGTTAAAATCTGCAGGGACTGCTTTCCTTCCTTCCTTTGCTATGATACAGTGTCCTGTATTATTCATTCATTCCCATAACCAAAGTAATGGGGAAACCAATATTATTTTTGTTTTAGGATTATTTATACTATATACTGCATTCAGTACTTTAAAATGCCAATTAAAGTGCAATCTCATTATTTATTGTAAAAATGAAAAGAAAAAATGTACTTATGTACTAAATCTCTCCCCTTATCCCACCTCTGACCCCCTAGCAGCATACTATATTTTTTTCCTATTTTGTTTTATGTAAGTATAATTTAGGTAAAATATTTTCATTCCCCAGCACCATTCCTAGTATTAACCTTCTTATAGTATATTGTATGTTTTAAAATGGGAGTGTTTTATGAATTGCCAAAAAAGAAGAAGAAATAAATGTACCCATTATTTCCTGCGCACAAATAAACAACCTTTGCGGGGACCACATCCATTCCATCTGCGGTACATTAAAAACAATCATCTTCAAAGTTTACATGTAGCCAAAAAAAAAAAAATCATAAGCATCTTTTGAAATAATAGTTTGAAACTGATTATTCTGTGTGCCTCTCTTGATGTAGCAAACTAGTACAAAGGTTCTCTTATTTTTTTTTTCTTTCCTAATGTTAGTATGCATATTTGCCTAGCAAACAAATGATATTGAGCTATTTTCTTTCTTTTTTTAAAAAAAATCTCCTCTTCCTGTTTTGGCTCCAGTTTTGGCCTTGACAAATGTGGTATTGTTGTCATTGTTTAATTCAACTTTATTCCTTTTTATATAATACTCGGTTGTCTTCAAATATAAAATTATTTTTAAAATTTTTTAAAGAATGTAGATAGAATTAGCTGGGCTTTGATCTCATTTCAATCATTGGGAACAATTAATTAGGAGTCATTGGAAACCTGTTAGTCGTCGTGGCTCTGAAATCCTTTTCATTTTTCTGGATTGGGGGCAATCCATTTAGAAAGCCACACCTTTGTGAAACAGTTGTTGTCACTTTCACCGTGCCTTGTGATTATCAGCCCACTGTCATAACAATTCCTACCATTTTTGACTTGAGCAGAAACTTACCATATTTTTTGGAATATAAGACACACCTTTTTCCCTCAAAAAAGAGGGTGAAAATCTGGGTGCGTCTTATACACTGAATACAGCATTTTTGCCTCCCCAAACCCCGCCCCCTTCACCAAAATGGCTGTGCATAGCCTTTAGGAGGCTTCCAGAGTGGTCCTGGGGGCTGGAGACGGCAGAAATGAGCGAAAAANTCTCCTTAGTTCTAAGTTGCTTCTCTCCTTGATTAGTTTCCACCCATTGCTTCTTGCCCTGCCTTCAGGTGCTTTGGAAAATAGCTTGACTCCCTCTTCTTTGTGGCATCTCCTGAGATATCGGAACACTGCTATCATGTCTCCCCTAGTCCTTCTTTTCATTAAACTAGACATAGTCAACTCTAGCAACCGTTCTTCATATGTTTTAGCGACTGTCAAAGACAAGGGAGCGTGGCCCGCATGGCTTCTTCAAACAGCTGAAGAAGGGACAGGAGGGGAGGATTCGTTCGACAAGCCCACGGTGGCGCGCTGCTCTCTCCTCTGACAGCCGCCTCATTTCCAATGAAGGGGGTGGGGAATCCATGCAATTTCCTCCCTCTGCAATTCTCCACCCTACCTCTGCGCGCGCTCCAGCCAAAACCTCCTGGAAGGCTTCTGGCGGGTGAGCGGGGGGGGTGGGCAGGCTAGGGGAGGGACCATTCTGGTACTCGGCCCCTGGAAGCCCCAGTATGGGAAGACACATTGAATTCTTTCAACCAGTACACACGTACCGGACAGGACCAGCTGAAACCACCTCTGGGGCAAATGCAGAAGATGGATTTATTTCCTTATCAGGTAATGTCTATTGTACAAATCCAGAAACTGGTAGATTCTGTGGCTCTAACCACTGTATCACAACTTCCCCCAAACTGAAACAGGTTCTCTCAATAGGTTTAGGGCTTAGTGGAACAATCAATCAATCAAACAGAATAGAGCTGAAGGAGACCTTGGAGATCTTCTAATCCAACCCTCTGCTCAAGCAGGAGACCTTATATCCATGATGGCGAACCTATGGCACACGTGCCAGAGGTGGCATGCAGACTCTTCTCTGTGGGCATGTGCATCATCTCCAGCTGCTCTTCTGGTGTCCGGCGCATGGATGGTCTTTGGGTTTCTGGCACTCCGGTGTACGCGAAGACCTGCCAGCCAGCACGCATGCACCTGCCAGAAACCCGAAGAACTGGTGGTCAGCACACACATGTACACTGGCCAGATGATTTTTGGGTTTCCAGCACTCTAGCGTGTGTGTGTGTGCATATGTGAATGCACCCACGTTCCAATTTAAGCACTCAGTGCCAAAAACGAATATAGGGGATAAAAATGAGAATTGTTTAAACCTATTACCTCCAGAAGTTGTGAATGCTACAACACTGGAAGTTTTTAAGAAGAGATTGGGCAATCATTTATAAGGTTTCCTGCCTGAGCAGGTGGTTGGACTAGAAGACCTCCAAGCTCCATTCCAACTTTGTTATTCTATTTTTTTCTAAAATTACTTGTTCAACCATTTATGTCTTATTTTCACTGGGGCCAGACAAAATTTGCCTCCTGCATAGCTAATAGCGGGTTATAAATCCTGGAGAGATAATTCAAATAAAATTGTTCCTGTTTTACTTTTCCAAATATAGTGGATGATTTTCAAAACCCTTTTAGTCATTGTCCCAAGCAATGTCCTAAAGCAACGCAATAGACAAATTTATTTTGAGAACCAAATTAGAGTACAAGCTTGAAAAGAAATTTCTTAAGGATTCTTCCCTGCAGGAAACAGAAAGATAGTTTGCTGGCATATTTGTGTAGCCAAAAAACCAGATTTTGGCATGAATTTATCTACAGATGCACTGATTTGTTAGGATGATAATTGCTTGATGATCATGCTTTTAGCTATCAGAGAGGGCATATGTAATAAGCAGTTGGGCTTTCAAATATAATCAACCACATTAAATTTTAAAAAATTGAGACCTTGTAACATGCATTAGGGGTGACTTTTCCTGAGCTTTGTGCCTGTTTTTTTATTATTTTGTTATTCTGCTAGCTGAAGGGACTAGTAAAATATTCATTGGAGTGACTCACACAAATTGGCTCCCACCAGTTGAAAGTGGGAAGGGGTTGTGAGAGAAAAAAAGTTTTTAAAAACCACCGGTATAAGGAATATAAAGGGTGGTTTTGCTTTAATTCATTTCCTAAGTACAATTGATTCTTGGCTTAAATCACAAAGACTAGATGATCGTCAGTATGGGGACAATGTAAAAGAGATGGGCGTTCTGGCCATGCCCTCTGAAGTCAGACACAACACTGAGATGCAGGTGTCAATGAAATTGAGTTTGACACCCCTATCCTGGAGGAAAGAGAAAACAAGGCCAGCCTTGGAAAACTTGGCATCAAATACTTGAGGAAGATCTTAAGAATTTTTTTTTTACATTTTTTAAATTGAATAAACGTTAAAAACATTGGACATAGAGCAGANGCAATTTCAATAAACCTCCAATAACATTACACCTTTATAACATATTCTGAAACAAAATCAGTTAATAAGATATCTAAGCATCCCCCCCCCCTTTTCCCCCAATTCACAATTTAAAGCTTATATCCAGTCTTTTGATTTTCACAGCACCAACTACTACCCTCCCCATGGTCACATGACTGAATCTTGTACCTTTGGCCGTCGGTCCACATTTACAGTCATTGGCAGTGATCCATGGTGCCATGGCCACATTTTATGGCACTTTTGCTGAAAAAAATACCATATCCTTCTGTTTTTCAGCAAAACCCATTCCTACTGAACAACGCGACTTGGTTCACTTAACCACTGTGGCATTTACTTAACAACCACTGCTAAAAAGGAGAACAATTAGAGGGGTGTTTTTGGGCGACCCACTATATCACTGTCACAACTTGCAACTGTCATGGACAGGCTCCATTGCAGTCATGAGTAAAATACGTCAACCCTCAGTTAGGTCCAGAGTGACTAACGTTGTATCATTTTCTCATAACAGTCTTCAAACCCCCTGATCCTTTTGGTAATTTCTGCACTTTTTCTAGCTCTATTTTGCCCATTACCAAATGCAGTGGCCAGGACTCTGCATAGTTTCCCATAGGGCATTAATAATATTGATTATCTTATTTGATGAAAATATTGGTTTACTTACTCAAATTCAACATAGAGAAAAGTAAAGTCCTACACTTAGGTAAGAAAAACCAAAAGCACGCATATAAACTGGGTGAAACCAGCCTTAATAGCAGTGACTGTGGGAGGGATCTTGGAGTCTTAGTGGACAACCAGCGAAATATGAGCCAGCAGTATGCAGCAGCAGCCAAAAAAGCCAATGCATTCCTAAGTTGCATTAACAATCAAGTTACCGTATTTTCGGACTCTAAAACGCACTGGTGTATAAGACTCACCAAGATTTCAAAGAGGTAAGTAAGAAAAAAAGTTTCTGCCTTCCCCCAGCCCCCAGGAGCACTCTGCAGGGCTGGGGGAAGGAAAATACGCCCCCCTTTTTGCGAAAAATGGGCCATGTTTTGCAAAAATGCAGGTGTTTTTTGCCATCCCTCAGCTGAGCTGAAGCCTGCAGNCCTTGTGATTATCAGCCCACTGTCATAACAATTCCTACCATTTTTGACTTGAGCAGAAACTTACCATATTTTTTGGAATATAAGACACACCTTTTTCCCTCAAAAAAGAGGGTGAAAATCTGGGTGCGTCTTATACACTGAATACAGCATTTTTGCCTCCCCAAACCCCGCCCCCTTCACCAAAATGGCTGTGCATAGCCTTTAGGAGGCTTCCAGAGTGGTCCTGGGGGCTGGAGACGGCAGAAATGAGCGAAAAACAGGCTGTTTTTTGCTCCTTTTTGCCCCCCCCCCAGCCCCGAGGAACACTCTTCAAGCCTCTTAAAGGCTATTCATGCCCCCTTTTTAAAAAAGAAATGGGCCAGTTTTTGCAAAAAAAAATGGGCCATTTTTGGGAGGCTGCAGAGTGCAAAAACTTTTTTAAAATTTGCTTCTTCAAAATTTTAGTGCGTCTTATACTCTGAAAAATATGGTACTTACTGCATATGCTCTCAAAGTTTGCAGGCAAAGTCAATCACTGGTTGTTGAGCTCGTTAGTTGGAAGTTTCCCCATGGATTTCAGTGGGGCTAATGTGGAATTTCATCAGAGGAGCTGAACATAAGTCTATCTGCAGGAAATGGAGGGAGATCCCCATCAGAGCAAATCGGTGCCCTCAACCCTTTGGTTTCAAGATCAATATTTTCTCTCCCTTATTTTTAAGGGAGTTAATTACACCAGCTGATCACGGGGGGGGGGGTTCAAATTTTTTTTTTACTAGCGGTTCTGTGGGCATGGCTTATTTTAATGGCCGTGACTTGGGAAATTTATGTTTCAGATTGGAGAT